AGAAGAGGAGAGACACAGACATAGAGGAGAAGCCCCAAGACAAAGGCAGAGATGGGAGGGATGCGGCCACGAGCCCAGGGACGCCTGGAGCCCCCAGAAGCTGGAAGAGGCAGGAAGGACCCTCCCCTGGAGCCTCTGGAGGGAGCGCAGCCCTGGGACACCTTGAACTCAGACGTCTAGTCTCCAGGACTGGGGGAGGATGAATGTTTGTGGTTTACAGCCCCCCAGTTTGTGGTCATTTGTTACAGCTGCACCAGAAAATTGATACACCCCCCTCTCTCCCCATATGAAGGGCCCAGAGCCTGTTCAATCCATCCAATGGGTTATCAACGCCAGGGATTAGTGGGCATATGGGTTTGGGACCAGTTCCACAGCTGATGGTGCAAGGGCGGGCAGGGGCTGGGGGTGCAGGTGATTTTAGGGCTGTGTGCTCATCAGGGACAGAAGGAGTGAGTGGATACCCCGGGGGTCCCCATAAGCTTTGTCATCCCCTTAATCAGGCTGATGGAATTTTCTAGAATAATCCATCTTGGGCTCACTCCCGGGCCTCCAGCAAAGAGCTTGAGGCATCAGCACTGAGCCCCTGGCTGTCCCCTCAGCTTGCTCAGAGACCCGTGATTCCCGAAGCCAGGACGTTGGGGTCCTCCAAGCCAGGCTGGCCTGGAGGGAAGACGGGTTCCCCCTGGGGAGGAGAACTGCGGTCTCCTGGAGGAATATTCCAGCGCCTTCGTGGTCGCCCAGGTGGGGGGCTCTGAGAGCTAGCGGCCAGGCGCGTAGACAGCCTGAGGCTGTCACCTGCACTGTCTGCTCTCCTCTGGGGGGATGAGAATGTCCGGGAACTCTGGACAAGACTGTGTGCTGAAGCTTGGCCATCGGGGCCTGGGGTCCTTCTGGGGATCTGTTGACCCCCGTGGACTCCATCTCAGAATGCTGTTCATGCAAGCTTAACCTGAACTAGATAAGATTACAAAGGAAGTGATGGTTATTGGAATACAGGTGTCAACTTATTTCAAACACTTGGTGATCGAGGAATACGGGTGCTCGTCTGCTGCACCCCAAGGGGATGCGTTTAAAATCGAGGCAGCTTTGAAAGGTTCACCCAGGAGGTAGGAGACGTAAGTGGTTCATCCCTTCTCGTGGCTGAATATTACGTGCAGTGAAAGTGCCAGACACAGAAGGTCCCAGGGTGTGTGACTCTGTTTATGGGAAACGTCCAGGACAGGCAAGTCCGACGGGCAGAAAGGGGGCTTGTGGCGCCAGGGGGACAGGCAAGTCCGACGGGCAGAAAGTGGGCTTGTGGCGCCAGGGGGACAGGCAAGTCCGACGGGCAGAAAGTGGGCTTGTGGCACCAGGGGGTGGGGAGGGGGATGGGGGGGTGACGGCTCGTGGGGACGGGGTGTCCTCTGGGGGGGTGAGAAGGTTCTGGAACCAGATAGAGGTGGCGGTTACACAACGTTGTGGATGTGCTAAACGCCGCTGAGCTGTTTAGTCTAAAATGGTTAAAAGTGATTCTTGTGTTACTTGCATTTTTGCTTCAATGAAAACTGGAGGGAAGTTGGAGTTGGATTTTGTGTTGTAGAGAGACAGGGGTGGCAGGTGTGTTGAATGAGGCTGTGAGCGGTGGGTGCAGCCCTTCGGCCGGATTCACCGGGAATCCAGTCCGTCCTCGCGTTGGGGCCCAAGTGGTGCAGCTCGCAGGGCGCAGTCGCTCAGAAGCAGGTAGGGGCAGGCCAGTCTCCGCTTGCTCGAGGGCGAGGCTGGGCCTGTCTCTCTGAAGAGCACGAGCCCTCCAGGCTTTCTCGAGTGAGGCTCCGCCGTTGAGAACACACAGCCTCACCACGTGGCAGCTGACTGTCCTTGAGGCCTAGAGATGCCTCAAGCTTGGCCACGCTGGCGGGAGGGGAGGGGCGTGTGGGTCTGTGGCAGCAAGACGGGGTGCTGTCTGCAGCTGGTGGTCCATCCAGACCCCCGGCTTCAGGGAGGGCACTGCCCGCCGGCAGGGTCCCACGGTCTCCGCGGCTGCTGTCGTGCCCCTGAGGACAGTGTAGCACCTCCTGGCCACGTGGTCACACGTGCATGGTCTGGGCGGACTTCGTCCTCGAGGGCGGTGCTTAGATTCAGGAAGGGTGGACCGAAAAGGGGAGTGAAGCATCTTCCCCATCCAAGGTCCGGATCCCCCGAACGCTACCCGGGGACCCCCCTGGGCTACGACGCCTATCTTAGCGCCACTGAGATATAGGGAAGAGGACCTTACAGAAAACAGAGTAACTTGCTGCCTTCCCCTGGCTTGAAAACGTGACCCGGCTGTGCTCCCATCCCGTCCCCAGCCGGCTGGGGCTGCCCGCTCTTTACTCAGTGCCAGCTGCGTGCTCACAGGGCGTGCGGTGGCTTATAACTCTTGGGAGGAAAGTCGCTTTGGTACACGCAATTTCATGCCATGTACTGTCCCCTGTAACAGAATCAGAGCAGATGCAATTTTAGTTTTAGAATAAAACTTAACACAGCCTGAACAGAACGAGAGGGTTAATAAAATCTCCGTAGAAGAAAGCTGAATGCAACCTTAAAAGAATAAGTCAGTAACCTCTCAATAGAAGAGTGATTACAGCTCTACTATAATAAGAGTTAATACAACCTCACTACATAAAAGCGAATACCGTCTTAACCAGATAATACAACCTTAATAGGACAAGAGTTAATAGAATCTCAATACAAGAGGTTCATCCAACGTTAAGAGCATAAAACTTACTACAACCACATAGAATAAGAGTTCGTAAAATCTTCACACACAAAGAGTGAGTACAGCCTTAATACAGGAGCTCATACAATCATGACAGGGTAAGAGGTAATGCAAACTTCACAGAGCAAGAGTCAACACAACCTTAACAGAAGAACTAGTACCATCTTTAGAGAATATACCTTAACATATCCTTAATAGAACGAGACTTAATAAAACCTTAATAGAAAAAATCTGAATACAACCTTCATGGAATGAGAGTTGATAACATCTCAGTAGAACAAGAGTGATCGCCATTTACTATACCAAGAATTAATACAACCTCACTGCAAGAGCTAATACCATCTCAATAGGATAAAGCTTAGCACCTTAATACGGTAAGAGTTCATGCGACCTTAATAGGATAACAACCAATAGTACCTTTGGAAGAGTAGATTCAATCTTAATAAAATAAGAGTTAATGCAATCTTAAGGGAATAGGAATGGATACAATCTTAACAAGAGTTCATATAAAATATAATCTTAGTAGAGTGAGAGTTGATGGAACTTTAATATAATGGTTCTCAAGTGGGGACTGTGCCCCCGGGGGCACACTTGTCAGTGTCTGGGGACATGTTTGCTTGTCACAGCTGGGGAGGGGGGAGGGGAGCTCCTGACATCCGGTGGGTGGAGACCAGGGCTGCTGCTGCACACCCCACAGTGCCCAGGACGCCCCACATCAGAGGTTGATCCAGCCCCAAACATTGGTAGCGCCGCTGCCTTAATAGAATAACAGTTACTAGAACCTTAATTGCAGAATTAGGAATTAACACAATAGTATTACACTCCCCTCTCCCACATGCATTTGGAGGGCTTTCCAGTGTAATCGTGGGTCGGGAAGCAGCAACTTCCCTGGTTAACATAGACACAGGTCTTATTTTTATGCTGTTAAAACAAGCCTAATCGTAAGTGTGGGAAACACATTGTCTCAAGAAACCATCTCTCCACTGCACACCTGAAACTTAAGACAACACTGTAAACCAACTACACGCCAGTAAAATTTTTTTTAATTTTTAAAAATGAAAAAGAATAGATAAACAATAAGGACCTACTGTGTAGCGCAGGGAACTATACTCAATATTTTGTAATCTATATGGGAGAAGAATCTGAAAAAGAATGTACACGTGTATTCTTTTATATATAACTGAGTCACTTTGCTGTACACCTGAAACTAACACGACATTGTAACTCAACTCTACTTCAAAAACATAAAAATAAAAATTGTACCCGAAATCTAGGGTACAATTCTGGAAAAAAGAAAAATAACTGTCTCTCCTTGTGGGGCGTTAATGGATCCACCTCTCATGGCCAATGTTATCCCGAACCTTGTGTGCGAGGGAGAAAAATGCATTGATGGTTTATTCATTATTTTTACCCTTTTTGTATTATTTGGAGGCACCCTATTCACTTCTTTAGATGGAGAGAGAAAAAGAGAAAATAAACCGTCTTAAGACTCTTGACACCAGCAGGTAGGGAACACCACTGACACCTTAAGGAAAAAAAAAAAAGGACTGCGTATATTTCCTTGTTTGGAAAATGCAAACAATGCAGAAGGAAGGGTGTAGAATGAAAACGCAGAAGGCCCTGTCTGTCCCCCATCCCCCGAATTTCTGCTCCCAGGTGACCAGTGTGACCAGCGAGAGAGGATTATAGGATTTTGAAAACTCACGCGTGGCTTCCCGTGGTTGCATGTGCCCCTCGATATCCCTCGGGCGTCCCCTTTGGAGACCTCAGAGTCCCTCACGGGGGGTGTGCATTTCCCAGGACAGGTTCTTGCTGTTCCGGGCAGGTTCCGTGAAGAGCTTCTGTGGACGGACAGGGCGGGGGCAGCTGCTGCAGACGCCTGGACCTACCAGGCTCCCACACCTTTGCTCCTGCCCGGCTGGCCAGCCCATGAATGACCCCCTTGGCCCCTGCCCCTAGGGGGACAGCCCCCACCGGGCCCTGGCGCCCACCCTCCCTGGGGACCGATCCATCCGCTCCCGTGGGGCAGGGTTAGGGCTGGAACAGCAGGAGCAGTCTCTTCGTGGGTGCAAGGTGGAGCGTCATTTAAAAACTGTTTTTATTGTGGTAAAATAGACGTACTATAAAATTTACCATTTTTAAGGGCACAGTTCATTGGCATCAAGTCCATTTATTGCTGGGCAACCATCCCCACCGTCATGTCCAGAACTCTCCCATCTTCCCAAACTTCGTCCCCATTAAACACTGACTCCCCCTCCCCCAGCCCCTGGACCCACCATCTACTCTCTGTGAATGTGACTCTTCTAGGGAACCCCGGTACGTGTCCTTCTGTGTCTGGCTTCTCTCACTCGGCATCATGTCCTCAAGGTTCATCCACATTGTACCTGGATCAGAATTCCCGTCTTTTCTAAGACTGAGTCATGTTCCATTGTTTTTACACGGTATTTTGTGTATCCATCCATCCATCAGTGGATGCCTCGGTGGCATCCACCTTTCGGCCATTTTGAAGAATGCTTCACGTGAACACACGGGTGTCCACGCTATCTGTCCGGCTCCCTACTTCTGGTTCTTTGGGGTCTACAGCCAGCAGTGGAATTGCTGGATCCTGTGGTCATGCTACGCTGAATTTTGTGAGGAACTGCCCTGTTTCCCTGAGCACTTGCAGATGCACGCTCCCTCCCCATTGCGTGTGCGTCTCTCGTTCTTAAGAGAATTGAAGCTGAGTCTGGTTTCTGCCGTTGCCCCGAGGTTCTCTTCGCCGCCTGTGAGCTGGGAGCCTTTGACCTTCTGGCCGAGGTCCCGGAGGCCCTGGGCTCGGCTGCAGTGGCTGCACGTCTGGGCGTCAGCTCCCGGGGGACAGAGCTACTGCTGGATGCCTGTGTGTCCCTGAAGCTGCTTCAAGTGGAAGTGAGGAGAGAAAAAGGTAAGCATCCTGGCTATTTTGAAGGAGGCATTTTAAAGGTGCACCCTCAGCACTTTTTTTTTTTTTTTCTGTAAAGGGCCAGAGAGTAAGTATTCTTAGCCTTGTGGGCTGGCCGTGTGGTCTCTGCAGCTGCCACCCATCTCTGCCCTTGGCGCACCCAAGCAGCTGGAGACAAACAAATGGGAGGGGCTGAGTGCCAATAAAACTTTATTGACAAGACAGGTGGTAGGCCAGGGTTTCAATAAAACTTTATTAACAGAAGAGGTGGTGGAACGGGGTTCTAGTAAAACTTTATTGACAAAATTGGGGGTGGGCTAGGGTTCTAATAAAAGTTTATTGATAAAACAGGTGGTGGGCCAGGGTTCCAATAAAACTTTATTGACAAAAACAGGCAGAGGGCCAAAATCAGAGAGCAAACGCAGGATGTCATTTACCAGCTCCGGATCTAGAGGTTTCCTCAGGCTGGTGTATGCACTGGAACCCCGATGAAGTATCCAAGGAACAAGATAAAAATGTGAAAAAAAGAAATCTCAAGGGAGTAATTTTCCATCAAGCTGAACTGATTCAGTTCAGGGGTTGCCGTTTATGATGAGAGTATATTATTTTGGTGTTGAAGCTGCTTTTCTCTTATGGAAGATGGTGATGGTAGGGTTTTTTTTTTTTCTTTTTTTTAATGTCCTTCCTTTGCAAGATTCAAAACTGTCAACCCTATGTCGGTCATCCAGATGGTTTTTTAGAGTTTTGTCAATCCGAGAAATTGCAAAGTGTAGGGACTATGGCTTGATAGAACAGGAGTGGGTGGACCAGAGGTGGGGGGGTGGGTAGCTGGTGGGCTTTTTTCTTGCAGCCAAAGGACTCGTGTACCTGTTGGATTTCTGGGGTGCGGCCGAGTTAACTTGAACAGGAAGACATCATCTGAGGGGTTGGTGGTGCTCAGATAGCCCGGCTTGGAAATCAAGCAGGTACCAGCCACACCACGGGAACAAGCTTTGCAGGTCCCCCTCCCGGCCCCCACTGGCAGCACTGCTCCTGAATGCCCAGCCCATGCTGAGACCCAGCCAGGACACACCTGTGGAGGATGCTGGATGTTCTATGGGAAGCACGTGGGGGTGGGAGGAGCCTGTGGTTCCCGCTGACATGCGGCCCAGGCAGGTGAGGATTTGGGCAAGCGCACAGGCTGGGAAGCCCCGTGACGGCAGCGTCCACTCCGGCTGTGCCTCTGGGGTCCCCGTGGAGACCCACAAACATTGGGCAGGTACGCATTGTGCAGGAGAAATGAAAGGCTAGATCCTTCCTCCTCGTGAGCGGGACAAGCCGCTCCTGTCCTGGGAGGGATGCCATGACCAAGAACAGGACCATGCCGGACCCCAAGCACCACAGCTGGGCCCCCAGGACAGGCCCAGGCACCGGATGAGCCGTTCGGACATGTGGCCCGGAGATGCCCAGGGCTGTCCCCCCTTGTCGGGGGCTGGAGGGCTGGAGTGGCTTAGGGCGCAGCCGGGGAGCACGGTGCCGTCTGCCCCGGGGGGCTGTGGGCGTCCTGCACCTTGTGGAGATGATGGCCCCACCAGGCTCGGGTCCCTGCTGCACAGCTGAGCTCACCCAAAAAGCGCCCCTTTCTCCCCTGATCTTTGTTTCCTCTGCACGAGTCGGGCTGTTGCCCCCATATGTCCATTTTAAAATCAGGTGTTGCTTGAAGGTCCGCAGACTGTAATATACGTTTCCCTCGGGCTCGTTGGCTATTCACTGCTCCGCCGGATCTTCCCATGGGATTTGCCGAAGCTGAACCCAGCAGGTGCGCCTGCTGCCCACAGGTCAGCCGGCCCTTCAGGACGAGGGTCCAGCTGTTGGGACTTCCGTGGTCCCAGGCAGGAATCGCGTTTCCATCAGGGTGTTCCCAGTGCTGGTGTCGGCATGTCGGTGATGCCGTGGTATCTAATGCGTTTTGGGGTTTTTTTTCCTCTGTTCTGTGTGTTTTCAGCTGTGTATGAAAACACAGAGCTCGCCAGCACCTACCTGGCCAGAGCCAGCCCCAAGTCCCAGCAGGACATGCTGCTGTACGCGGCCAGGACCACCTACCTGGGCTGGGGCCACCTGGCCGCGCGGCTGTCAGGTGGGTGCGGTGTCGGGGGCGCTCCTGAGTCCCAGGGCTGCCTGGGGGCTGGTTTTCAGGGCATCCGAGGAATCGAAATGCCGGGTTTCTTGTAGAACCAAACGCGACATCATTAGATTTGGGAATCCGGAGCAGATGTGTGAGGTCACCTGGTGTCGACCGACGGGATTACTCTAATGATGTCGTGATGCGAATCCTTGTGCTTCAGGAGTCTCCAGGGGAAGCGGGGGCGCCCCAGGGCAAAGCAGGAAGATAATCTGGGACAGATGGTGGAAAACCCTGCGTGCTGCTCTCTGCGTGTGTGATGGCTGTGCCGCACACCGGGCTTCTCAGCCTCACCCCACTGGCATCTGGGGCTGGGTGACCCTCTGATGTGGGGCGTCCTGGGCCCTGTCGGGGGCGGAGCAGCTTCCCTGGTCTCCACCCGCCAGGTGCCAGGAGCACCCCCTCCCCCCAGTGCGACAACCAACAATGTCCCCAGACATTGACAGGTGTCTCCTGGGGGCAAAATCAGTTGTAACTGGGAATCACTACGGTAGAGACAGATGGATAGAGCTATAGATAAGTGATAGATATTGATAGATCGATGTTATTAGATAAATACTGATAGATAAGTAATGATACATTACAGATGATAGATGATTGATAGACAATATGGACAGTTTGATAGGTGATTGATAGATATAGATAGATATTGATAAAATGACAGCTATTGTTAGGTATGGATAGATAACAGGTAGATAGGTGGATATATAGACACGTGAGTCTATAGGTAGATGTTATTGATAAATATTGTTAGATAAATGCTGGTAGATGAGTACCGATAGTGATCAACAGATGATAGATATTGACAGATGATTGATAGGTAATATGCGTAGTTTGAGAGATAGATGATGATGGATGGACATTATTGGTAAATACTGATAGAAGATGATAAATATTGATGGATGGGTCTAGATAGATGATAGAGAGAGAGATGAATACAGCAGTCCCCAACCTTTTTGACACCAAGGCCCGGTTTCATGGAAGACAGTTTCTCCACGGACGGGGCGAGGGGCTAGTAGGATAATTCAGGCAGTAACGCAAGCGACGGCGGGATGGTTCAGACGGTAATGCGAGCCGTGGGGAGCAGCAGATGAGGCTTCGCTCGTCTGCCCCCTGCTGTGTGGCCCGGCTCCTGACAGGCCGTGGACCGGTACTGGTCCGCGGCCCAGGGGTTGGGGAACCCTGGCTGAATAGATAGATAGATAGACGGTAAGTGATAGCTGGTGGAATTATAATAGGTGACTGATAGAGAGAATCTCTGATGCTAGGTCAGGGTTTCTCAGCACGACTGACATCGGGGCTGGGTGACCCTCTGATGTGGGCGTCCCGGGCCCTGTGGGCTGTGCAGCAGCTTCCCTGGTCCCCATCCACCGGGTGCCAGGAGCTCCCCTCCCCCAGTTGTGACAACCGACTGAAGACATTGACATTGTTGAGAACCGTGGCTCTCCATTTTCTTTCTTAATTATTTTAACTTAAACCCCATCTTGAGCCTCCAGTAGCTTAGCCGTGAGAACCCGAGGACCCAGTTATGCCGCTGGTTTTGGAAAAGGTACAGCTCATCAGATTCACGCTTATCGTCACTGTTTGCTTTCACGTTTCTCTTCCAAAATCACACCCACGTGAGACTCACCGCGCACGTGGCGTCGATGCTGTTCTGAGCGTCTCCAGGTGGCCCAGGGCCGGTGCGCAAAGTGCGTCAGGGTCGGGCCCACAGCTTGGAGCCAAGGGGACTCTCAGTAGGTCTCTGAGGGAGACCAAAGCGTCAGGGGTCTCGTGTCACAACCAGACAAGAGGGCACAGTAGGGGCAGTGGCACGGCAGAGCGTGGACGCCCGTCTAAGGGGCCAGCCCCCCGTCAGCTCCCACAAGTTGTGTCCACGCGACCGTGGGGTGACAGCCGCCCCAGCTTCCGAGCTTTGTGTTTTATGAGAAGCAGGATGTCGCGATTTCAAGGGGACGCCCCCTGAGGTTTTGACCTTGGGGCCCATTCAGTTAAAGAAGGAAGCCGTGAGGAGCTGGACACAGCCCAGTGGAGTCCACCCGAGGGTGCGAGTAACCAGCGGCGCCGCCACATCTCCGCAGCCCTTGCTGGACCCTCTGGAGTCGGTCCGAGGGACTTCAGTGCTTTGTCCCACGTGCAAAAGGAGCCTCTGTTTTCGGAGCAACGGAGAGTAACAGGCTTCTTCCTCCTGCCTCGTGCTGGTGTATCTGGGTCCCACGCAGAGGCACGCATTTCTGCTGCTGTGTATTTTTCATCAGTGTCTCCCGAAGGTCAGGTGGGAAAGAGATGCCTCACCTGACCGAAGGCTGGGTCACCTCATATCCATGAAAGGAGCAGGGGGCTGACTGCGGCCAGACTAGATCCAGGATGGAAGGAGGACACACCACGGGGAGCCAGCTCACCTGTACATCAGGCAGCGGGGCCCAGGAGGACCCAGAAATCCCCCCCCACCGGCCTCAGGGGAGTAGCAGGAAGCTGTGGGTAGGCCCGCTGGCCCTCCAGCTACAAGGACGGCCCCATCCCCAGGTGCCAGGGGCTGAGTCCTCCTGGACCGAGGCATCGCCTCATCTCGCGGCATCGTTACACCGTCTTTAGACTGTCCTTCGTTTCTTCTTTCCTCACATCAGAGAGGCCTGCAAGACGGGTAACGTGCAGCTCTGAACGTGCAGTTATTTTTTGCAAACTAGAAAGGAATTCGTGAGTGTCTTGGGTTACTTGTTTCCTGTTTGTTCTGTCTGCGATGTAAGGATAGGGTCTGTGAGCACCAGTGTGCGGTACCTAATGTGCGGTAAAGTCTCAGAACCCGAGTGATGCCCGCCCCCGATTTCCGAGACAGGAGGAACCGGTATCTGAAGGCCTTTGGGGTTCCCTCCGAGGAGCTCTTCACTGCCATCTACAGGTAACGCCAAGCACCTGCTTTTTTTTTTTTTTTTTTTTTTTGGCCTCGCTGCGGGCTCTTAGCTCCCCAGCCAGGGGTTGAACCCGAGCCCCTGCAGTAGAAGTGCAGGACTCTTAACCACGGGACCGCCAGGCAGGTCCCAAGCACCTGCTCTGATAGGGTTATGCTTATATTTTAAAATTTTATTGGAGTGTAGTTGATTGACAGTGTTGTGTTACCATCTGCTGTACAGCAAACCGACTCAGTTATACACATTTATACAATCTTTAATATTCTTTTCCATGATGGTTTATGCCAGGGTATTGCATGTAGTTCCCTGTGCTCTGCAGTAGGACCTTGCTGTGTATCCATCCTATATATACGAGGCTGCATCTGCTAATCCTGACCTTCCCTCCCCCACCCCCTCCCCCTTGGCAACCACTAGTCTGTTCTCTGTGTCTGTGAGTCTGTTTCTGTTTCATACATAAGTTCATTTATGTCGTATTTTAGATTCCACGTAGAAGTGATATCATATGGTATTTGTCTTTCTCTGACTTACTTCACTTAGTATGATCATCTCCAGGTCCATGCATGTTGCTGCAAATGGCAGCATTTCATTCTTTTTCTGGCTGAGTAATATTCCACTGTATATATGCACCACATCGTCTTTATCCATTCCTCTGTCAGTGGACATTTAGGTTGCTGCCATGTCCTACGTGGAAACAGTGCTGCAGTGAACATTGGGGTGCATCTTGGGATCTTTTCAGATTATGGTTTTCTCTGGATACATGCCCAAGAGTGGAATTGCAAGTTCATACGGCAACTATATTTTGTAGTTTTCTGAGGAACCTGCGTACTGTTCTCAATAGTGGCTGCGTCAATTTACATCTCCACCATCAGTGCACAAGGACACCCTGGTTTTAATAGTTCCCGGTGACCCAGCGAAGGAAGAAGATGGATATCCCAGTAGGACAGTGGGGAGCATCTTTCTGTCACTTCCCAAAGGCTGTTGTGGTGCTAGCTCCTTTCACTGCAGCCAACTAGCACCGGCTCCAAGGACGAGGGCGTGGGACACAGATGTGGTTCTCCGTGTAGACAGCAGTGAGAATCCTCTGGGCGGGGTTGCAGGCTGGTCTGCTGAAACTCCGAGAGCAGAGTCTTCTCACGCTGCCTTCCTGGTGGAGGAAAACACCGTGTGAGCCTGCAAGGATCAGGAGAGTTTACTGGGGTCCTGGGGGGCAGATGTCACTCCTCCGTTGTGATGCTAGCGGGGATGAGAAGGAAGGCCGGCCACGCCTGTGCGTTGGACACTGGGAAGCTCCCAGAACAGACGCAGGACTGGGTGGGTGGTCGTTCTCCCTGTCTTACGGGATAAGGGGGTGGGGCTCGGTTGAGGGCAAAATGGCAGCGGTGAGCACCAACCCTCGGTCTGGTTTCAGGAGACCCCGCAGCTCCCTCCTGACCCAGCACTGCCTTCCCATAGAGGAGGGACGGAAAGCACGGGTCGCCCTTCGGGTAGGGATGTGAGGCTTCAGAAAATGATCTCTGGTGCACAAGGGGTGTCTTTGCCATGTTCGCTGGTAGCAGGCTCCTCTAAGCAAGAGCAGACTTGCAATTGCTCTGCCCTGGGGCCAGCTGGGCGTGAAAACACAAGACAGGAGGGTCTCCAGGACCTGGGACGTGCATGCCGTTGGCTGGGAGGGCCCCCCTTGTTTCTCACTGGGGCGTCCCCTGGAAATGTCCCCCACAGGGACCCACGGGCACATCTCACTCCAGCATTTGCCCAGGGCTTCCTCTGCTTGGCTGTTGTCTTCGGGTGGACAAATGCCCTGGCACGAGAGGACACAGTCAGGTCAGAGTCTGTGTGGAAGGTTGGCATGCGGGTTGGCCCAACCAGGAAGACCCCCTAGATTCCAGGGCCTGTAGGTGAACCTGTAACTATGGAGACCAGAGTGTGGGTACCACCCAGGTCCCCACCCTGTCACGTCCTGTGTCCGCTTGCAGGTGGTTCCGGGCCTGTGGCCAAGGTGTGCATGTCTCTGTACCCGGGGTCTCAGGTCACCGTGTTTGACATCCCGGACGTGGTCCAGATGGCAAAGAGGCACTTCTCATTCCCGGAGGATGAACGGATCGGCCTCTGTGAAGGTGGGTTTCCAAGTGCTGTCTGTGTCCACGGGGAAACATGCGTCCCGGGGGGGCGTGGGAGAAGGCGGCAGTGGATGGTCAGAGTGGGTTCCTTCACCCTCCAAATATACTTCCCCTCAACCTAGAACTGTGAGTCATGACAGATGGAAAACTCTGGGAGGGTATATTGTTTTCTTACAATTAATTCTTTCTTGAGTATTGTACTGGGTTCAACAGTGTCCCGTCAAAATTCATGTCCACCTAGAATATGTGAATGGGACCTTATTAGGAAATAGGGTGCTTGCAGATGTGATGAAGTGAAGGGTCTGAGATGAGGTCCTCCTGGAGGAGGGTGACCCTACATCCAATGACAGGGTCCTTCTAAGAGACAGAAGAGGAGAAACACAGACACAGAGGAGAAGCCCCGAGAAGACAGAGGCACAGAGGGGAGGGATGCGGCCACAAGCCAAGGGACGCCTGGAGCCCCCCAGGAGCTGGAGGAGGAAGGAATAACCCTCCCCTGGGGCCTCTGGAGGGAGCGCGGCCCTGGGACACCTTGACCTCACATGTCTGGTCTCCAGGATGGGGGAGGGTGGATTTCCTGGTCTGTGGCCATTTCTTACGGCCACCGCAGGGCACCCACACAGGCATCTAAATCCAGGTCACTTATGAATGACAGTAAATGACGTGGGTTGAAGGTAGGGTCAGGGGTCAGTTCCTGACTCAGAAGCTTGAGAAGCTTCTCGGGCTTTCCAAGGCTCAGAGACCACAGCAGCTTTGCCGAGAGCTGGAAGGGACTTCCTCTTGCTTTGGAAATGCGGGGTGTGGCTCCCAGAGATGCTGTCCCAGGAACTAAGGTCTTACCAGCAGACGCCCTGTACCTCCATTTATGGAGGAAACTGGCCTTTCGTGGTTCTATTTTTCTGCTCGCTCAGAAGAAAAACACCAGGTGGGGATATCATTTCCATCCACTCTTAGATCTGCTGTAAATTCACTATGATGATTATTATTATTTTTGGCCACACCATACGGCTTGTGGGATCTTAGCTCCCCAGCCAGGGATTGAACCTGTGCCGCCTGCAGTGGAAGCGTGCAGTCTTAACCACTGGACCGCCAGGGAAGTCCCTCGCTATTACGTTTTTTTTAAAAAAAATCACCTGCACGGGACTTCCCTGGCGGTCCCGTGGTTAAGCTTTCATCTTCCAATGCAGAGGGTGCGGGTTCGATCCCTGGTCGGGGAGCTAAGATCCCACATGCCTCATGGCCAAAACACCAAAACATAAAACCGAATCAATATTGTAACAAATTCAATAAAATGATCTACAGCAAAAGATCTTTAAAAAAAAAAATCACCGCCAAGTTCATGGCATCTCATGGGACAGGCCATCAGCGTTGCATCTGGGGCCAGATGTGGGGTAGACACTCCCGAAATGTTGACTGATCCAGACGAAGGATCATCTCCTTTTGAATAGCTCTGGATCCGATAGGCTGATTTCAAGGTGACAAGAATGTGCTGAATCGTGTCCTTGAAGGGCTGGATACCATCTTTATTGAAAATTCTGAAATTTGGGGATGTCCCTGGTGGTCCAGTGGCTAAGACTCCACACTCCCAATGCAGGGGGCCCAGGTTCGATCCCTGGTCGGGGAACTAGACCCCGCAGTTAGACTAGCTGCAACTAAAAAGTCTGCACGCCGCAACTAAAGATGCTGCGTGCTGCAACTAAGACCCGGTACAGCCTAAATGAATACATAAATAAAAATAAAGATTTAAAATTCTGAAATTTTGACCATCAGGAATTTGTTGGGGGGTGTGGGGGGCTTAATGCTGATTTTTAAAAAATTCTTTTTAATTTTTATTTATTTTTGGCAGTGCTGGGTCTTCGTTGCTGCGCGCGGGCTTTCTCTAGTTGTGGTGAGCGGAGGCTACTCTGCGTTGAGGTGTGCGGGCTTCTCATTGCGGTGGCTTCTCTTGTTGCGGAGCATGGGCTCTAGGCACGTGGGCTTCAGTAGTTGTGGCTCGCAGGCTCAGTCGTTGTGGCTCGCGGGCTCTAGAGAGCAGGCTCAGAAGTTATGGCGCACGGGCTTAGTTGTTCCCTGGCATGTGGGATCTTCCCGGCTCAGGGCTCGAACCCGTGTCCCCTGCATTGGCAGGTGGATTCTTAACCACTGTGCCACCAGGGAAGTCCCTAATGTTGATTTCTAAAGCCATTGTATTAAAATACATTGAATCTCAATGACTAAGTTTTGGGGCCCCTTAAATTTTGTGCGCAGAGGCAGTGCCTCACCCTGATCTTAACCCTAATCCCACCCCTGGGGAGTCTTCCTCCTACTCCTTGGAGATACACGATCAGTGTTACTTCGGTGCCTCATTTGGAAAATGGGGTGAAGAAGCAGACTTTGGAGGTTGGGGGAATTAAGTGAAATACTACTTTATTATGTGCTGTTACCCCGTTGAGGTTGGGTGTCTGCGATTGGTCCCCAAGGGCAGCTGGTAGAAGGTGCAGGCATGTCGACCTTCATTCCTGGGTCTGCATTCTCTCCAGGCTGTAGGCAAACAGACGCCTGACCGAATTTGGCCCTTGGGCCGTAGTTTTCTAAGAAAAACCCCTGTCTTTCTTCACTGAGTGGAAGAAAACCCATTTGGAGGAACCTCCTTCTCCGTGCCCTGTCTCATGGGGGAATATTCTGGGGTCCCTGTTTCCTGGGATACTCAGCACAAGAAAGAGATCCAGGGGGTAGCATCTATGTCACCCGAGACATCCTCCCCAATTCCCATGAATTTGCAGAGTATGACCACAGGTCAGCTGAGGTAACCCTGTACGGCTCAGGGCTATCCAAGCTCTCTTCCCACATTGATACTTCTTGCAGGAAAAATGGTAGGAGAGTTGAGTGCTGGCCATCACCTACAGGTAAGAGTCTCTCGTGGGCATCTTTATGCAGTCAGGGAAACACGTATGGACCTTGTTGGTCCAGTTAGACTCATCGGCATGGAGCTGTTGATCCATTGCCAGGGACCTCCTGAAATCCATGGCTTAAAGGATGCTGTCTGTTTACACGGGACCTTCGGAAACAAAATAAAAATAAAACCATTGTCCAGATCTGATGGAGGGAAAGGGGCCCCCAAACATCGTCTTCACTGAGATTTCTTTTTGTTCAGGGGCTGGTTGAAAGGTCACCAGCTGGGAAGATCTGGGAAAGCTCGGTCCATACAGGTGGCCTTTCCCTGCTGGGTGTTGGTGTGGTCCAACGGGATTGAGATGCAGGCTGACCCCAGGGCACTCGCCCTGGGTTACAGGAGATTTCTTTAAAGACTGCCTTCCAGAGCCGGATCTGTGCATCCTGGCCAGGGCCCTGCATGACTGGACGGATGAGAAGTGTTCACACTTGCTGGTGAGAACCTATCAAGCCTGCAAGACAGATACGTGGTAGGGCTGGGTGTCGCTGTGCTGTCAACTCGGGGCAGGGTTGGCAGACTCTCCTTGGGGTGCCGGGGACTGAGTTCATGTCACAGGTAAGGGGAGTCATCCAACCAAATGGCTCTCCTTCCACAGCAGTAATTAAAACCGACCAAAAAAATGGCATTGATAACCATTCTGCAGCGTATCCCAACGGAAGATGGAGGTAGCCGCTGTGTGTGATGGGGACAGTATCCTGTGAGGTCACGATGCGGAGGGTCCACGAGGGCGTGGGCACAGCCTCTGTGTGTGATGAGGTCACAGTCACAGCCGACCGCTGAAGGTTTCCTTGCTTTCGGGACGTCACCATGTCTCAGGCTTTTGCATTGCTTCTCCCTCTCCAGAATCGTCCATTTTCCCCAGAAACTGTGGTTCTGTTGGTGGAGAATCATTTTCAGAGGCGGAGTTGCCCTTGCTGGGAGGGCAGTGTTTCTAGACCCCTTCCGTGGAGAGAGCTAGGAAATGGATTGAACACGCTGAATTATTTACATTTCCATCCATAGGGACGTTACCGGGCAGCTACTCAGTGTTTCTAACGCCGTCCTTGTGTGGTGTCCTACGCCCGGAGCCTTGCTCCTAAGATCATCAATAGTACTTGTTTGCCTGTCCTGATCTGTACATGACGTCATCCCAAAGGAGCAAAACCAAGGTTACTGCAAACAAGAGAACTGCCAGGCGGTGCTGTGGCTTGTCTGCAGTTCTTCTGTTTAGAATATCCACGAATTGGTGCGTCCACGGTCACAGAAACTGCGGTTGTCGCCCGGAGGTGATGTCGCCAATCGGCTCGGGGTCTTTGGTTTGCTTCCAGTGTTTAGGCCTTGCCTCTGCTTTTTATGTGTTAATTTTTGGAGGACTAACACATTTGCATGATTCGAAAACCAAATGCTGATGAAAGGTCCACGCAGAGAAGTCCAGCTTGTAATCTGACCCCCTCACACATATTTCTCCCCAGCTCTTGTAGGAGAGCTGATTTATGCTCTTTTAAAAAAAAAAAAATTACAAAAATAAATAAATAAAGCCGCCGTGTTTCCTGGGTGAAGCCACGCCCGGGAGGGACCTAGCACCGGGGCCGCTGCCCACAGCAACCACGGTCACCTTGCCGCTCACCCCGCTTGTGTCTGAGATGCAAACACAGCGCCTGCCGGTTTGCATATATCTCTGGATGTGGCCGGAACTCTGCAAGGGAAGCCGTCGATGGTGCTGAAGCCAGGGGCAGCCCTCGGAAGCGGAGGAGCACGGCTTTGCAGGTCCGGAATTTCTAGCCAGCAGGAAGCTGACCTCGGGCACGTCACCTACCTTCTCTGCACCCTCACCCTTCAAATTTAACAGACGGGACTGGGTAATCTCTAAAGTTCGTCTTAAATGCCCTGCGATTCTTTCACTGCGTCCAACCCTTCTCAGCTGGGGTGATTTTGCCCCCCGCCCCCTGCTGGGGACACACCTGGCAGTGTCTGGAGGCGTCTTGGGCTGTCACGCTGGATTGGAGGACGCTGCTGGCAGCTGGTAACTGGGTACCAGGGATGCTGCCCGACACCCCACAGTGCACAGGGTACCCCACATCAGAGAGTGGCCCAGCAGCCCCCAGTGCCGACAGTGCCGGGCTAGGGAGACTGGGTTAGGATGTGGTCACACTGCAGCTTCCCCGATACTCGTGGCAGTAACGACAGGACTGGCTCTTAGGGGTGCGTAGATTTCTTAAGAGTCCTCCTGAGCTGAGGGCTCTGGGAGGGTCACGCTGTCTCCTTGGGGGTAGGAAGAGAAACAGATATTGGAAAGACCTTCAGAAGATGATGGAAAGCCAGCTGCTGGTCCCAGACTGTGCTCCCCAGCGTTGGTCCAGCTCCGTCGCCTGGGGAGGGACCGGGTGGACCCAGCAGGAAGGACCCTCCAGGGCGCCGGGAATCACCTGCTCTGGCTTCTTCCCAAATACCTCTCTGGACAGCCTGGAGCCTTGGACGGAGGCATCCCCCCGTTGCCACGGCGACGCTGGATCACTTGGGGCAGGACCGGGATGCCTGTCTGCCAGCAGATGGCGCCGTTGGGTGGTTTAATGGACGTTGGCTCCACGGACCAGGCAGTCACCAACCAGAGGAGGCTGGGGTAGCCGTAAACGGAGAAGACACACACACTTTATGCCTTTGCCCCCGAAAATGTTAGGTTTCACGAAAACAAGTACCTTTTCATCATTTTCCCCCGTGAAGGGCGATTACAAAGTAAGAATAAAAGGCATCATTCTCCAGGTTCTAAGTAAGGGAGGGGACACTGACCCCCACCAACACCCTGTCCCGTGGAGAGACACCCTGGGCCTGGTGTACAGTAGGGCCGGCTGCATCTCTCGCAGCAGGGCCCTGGAGCCATTGCCGGAAACACCACCTCTTTCTGGAGGGTTTCTGCCCCAATAAAGAATTTGCGTGGTCCGAGGTGATATGGAAGCCCCCGGTCAGCTTGTTTAGAAGAAAAGCTGCTGAAACACATAGCACGGCATGAACCCTTTGGATTAAAAAACACACACACGCACACACAGTTCTTATACAAGGTTGTCACAGAAAATGAAAACCCCTCTCTTGTTTCTCTGACGTATTAGCTTCCACGGGGGACGACGATGTACGCTGAACTGATGAACATTTCCCAAAGAACGTGTTTGCCGCTGCCTGGGTCATTGCAATGCCTCCTGCATCCTCCACGTGGGGCCCCAAGTCTGCACAAAGTGGAACCCCTTTATGTGCAAGGGCCGAATGCATCCAGCCATGTAAGTTAACGGCTCCTTACAGCAGAAACTAACACAGCATTGTAAAGTAACCACACTCCAATAAAAAGTCATTTTAAAAATTTAAAAAAGGGACTTCCCTGGCGGTCCAGCGGTTTAGACTCTGGGCTCCCAATGCAGGGGGCTCGGGTTCGATCTCTGGTCAGGGAACTGGATCCCACACGCCGCAGTGACGATCCCGCCTGCCGCAAGCTAAGACCCAGCGCGGCCACATAAATAAATATTTTTTTAAAATTAAAACAAAAGTTTGCATTTATGGCTTTCATCACTCCTGCAGAACGACCGTGTCTATGGGAAGAGCATCTAAGGGAAATATGGTATTGAAGGGAGATGGCAGTAAGCACACCCCAAACCCTCCTCTTTTACAGAGCTTTCACGCCTAGCATCTCATGGGACCCCTGGGGCTGAGTGTGCAAAAATGGACTTGCCGGGCTTGTGCAAATGCAGGGAGACGTTTGCTAAGCAGCGGAGTCTGTCCTGTTTGGAACGATGCAAATGCATGCAGGGAGACGTTTGCTAAGCAGCGGAGTCTGTCCTGTTTGGAACGATGCACCAGGGTGGGACTGTCACCCCCAACCCCTGCCCTGTGGAGATGCTGGTGATGAAACTGTGCTGGAGAAGGCTTACGGGGTCCTCCAGGTCGACTGTGGTTTATCTCTGGGCTGCCCTGTGCCCATGTGACGGACACCTGCCTGGCTCTCTAACTGCCTGATTTCGGGGAGGGGGCGTCGGCCAATGGGTGAGAAGGGGCTGCTGCCTAGCAGGTTTCTCCTGGGTTCTTCTCCCCAAACTGAGCAGCTCTTTCCTTTGGTCTTCGAGACCTGGGGTGGGGGGGTGCATCCCCCTCCCTTGGGGATTCCCCTCGGCCGAGCCCACGCTGTAGGAGTGTCTCATCTATGATCTCCAAGACGCTGACCCAGACAGGAAGGAAGCAAGTGGCTTCTTCAGTGCCAGGCTGTACAAACGGGTATTATTCGGACGTTATCAGAATTTCAAAGGGCCACCCTCAGCTAGACAATACCTTGGCACCGTTTATTTTAAATTTTCTAATGTGATTCTTTAACAAATGTAAATCCGTATAGCAGGGTTTTTTTAAAAAAATATTTATTTATTTATGTATTTGGCTGTGCCGGGTCTTAGTTGGGGCACACGGGATCTTTAGTTGCGGCATGCAGGATCTAGTTCCCCGACCAGGGATCGAACCCCGGGCTGCCTGCACTGGGAGTGCAGAGTCGTAACCGCTGGACCTCCAGAGAAGTCCCCGTGCCATATTTTAGATTCCACAGATAAGCGACATCATATGATATTTTTCTTTGTCTGACTGACTTCACCTCATATGACGGTCTTTAGCTCCATCCATGTTGCTGCAAATGGCATGATTTTATTTTGTTTATGGCTGAGTCATATTCCATATGTACCACATCTTCTTTATCTCTTCCTCTATCGATGGGCATTTAGGTTGCTTCCATGTCCTGGCTATTGTAAATAGTGCAGCTATGAACATTATTTTACTTTTTAGAATAATAAGTGATCTTCATGATGCTTATAGATGGACATGGCTACAAAATGGTTAGCTTTGGAAAAGTAGAAATTGCTTTAAAAATTTGTCCTTAATAGTAAAGCCATCCTCCAGATACCTGACCCGCCACCCAAGTCATCAAGCTAGCAGCAAATCAAAACCTAATTAGTATAGGAGACTTCAGTTGGGAAAATAGATTCTAAAATTAATCATAAACAGGTTTACATCTCTCAGGATGGCTACTATCAAAAGAGACTCCAGAAAATAACAAGTGTTGGCGAGGATGTAGAGAAACGTGAATGCTTGTGCGGTGTTGGTGGGAATGTACAATGGTGTGTCTGCTGCAGAGAACAGAATGGAGGTTTCTCAAATAGTTAAACACCGAACTACCATAGGATGCAGGCTTTGAGTATTTACCCAAAAGAATCAGAAACTCGGAGAGGTCTTTGCACACCCACGTTCACTGCAGCGTTATTCACAACGGCCAAAATATGGACTGTAAACGTCCATAAACGTAAATGTTCATGCATGGGTGATGGACACACAGAATGGGGTCCATGCACACAGTGGAATATTACTCAGTCCTAAAAAGGGAGGGAAATTCTGACGCAGGCCACGACGTGGATGGACCTTGAGGACATGAGGCTCAGTGACACAAGGCAGTCACAGAAGGACAAATCCTGCAGGCTTCCACTTATATGAGGTCCCTAGGGGAGTCAAATCCATAGAGACAGAGAGAAGGAGGGTGGGTGCCTGGGGCTGGGGAGTGGGTGTTTAATGGGGACAGTTTCAGTCTGGGCAGATGAAAGAGTTCTGGAGGTGACGCTGGAGATGGTTGTACAACGTGAATATGCTCAAGACCACTGAGCTGTACACTTAAAAATGGTCAATTTGATGTTGCGTCTTTTTTCCATCATTAAAACAAATCCCCTATAAAGAACTGTAGGCACATTCCCCTCAGCGCAGACGCGATGACCCAGGCCGCAGAAGGAATCTGCTGGCTTTGGAGGACAGGTTCCTGCTACCTGCCTCGGGAGAAGCAGCAGGAGGGTGAGGAACCTGCATTGGTAGGGGTGGCAGGGAGCTGGAGGACACAGGTGTCCTATCCGGGAAGCCGCATTCCAGGTGGGAGCGAGCAGGTGTCCCGACGGACAGCAGGGGGCGCTCCTGCCTCATCATCCCGTCCAGCTGCTCTGTCGACCCAGTCGTCTCTAGAAATTCATCACGGAGGGAAGGCTTCGATGAGTGTTTGCAAACAGATGTTCCCTTGATGAGGCCTGCCGTGTCGACAGCCTCCCCGTCCCCTTTAAAACGTCTGTGCCGAGATGGTACAACCCCAGTTAGCCAGAGGGATGCTTCCCTGTGTCCCCGCCCCTGTCTTTCCTTTCCTCTCCACTGAGCTGTTTACCTGAGATTTTCGAGCGTGACAATTTCCGGACAATTCGTTCGGTGGCGTCGAGAATTGGGCCACAAAGCACAACACGGATTCCTTTTATTTGTTTTTCTTCTCTGATTGCTGTGGCTAAAACTTCCAAAACTATTTTGAATAAGCGTGGTGAGAGGGGGCAACCTTGTCTTGTTCCTGATCTTAGTGGAAATGGTTTCAGTTTTTCACCATTGAGGACGATGTTGGCTGTGGGTTTATCATATATGGCCTTTATTATGTTGAGGAAAGTTCCCTCTATGCCTACTTTCTGCAGGATTTTTATCATAAATGGGTGTTGAATTTTGTCAAAAGCTTTCTCTGCATCTATTGAGACGATCATATGGTTTTTCTCCTTCAATTTGTTAATATGGTGTATCACGTTGATTGCAATAGCCAGGACATGGAAGCAACCTAAGTGTCCATCAACAGATGAATGGATAAAGCAGATGTGGCACATGTATACAATGGAATATTGCTCAGCCATAAAAAGAAAGGAAATTGAGTTATTTGTAGTGAGGTGGATGGACCTAGAGTCTGTCATACAGAGTGAAGTAAGTCAGAAAGAGAAAAACAAATACTGTATGCTAACACAGATACATGGAATCTAAGAAGAAAAAAAAAAGGTCATGAAGAACCTAGGGGTGAGATGGGAATAAAGATGCAGACGTAGAGGATGGACTTGAGGGCACGGGGAGGGGGAAGGGTAAGCTGGGACAAAGTGAGAGAGTGGCATGGACATATATACACTACCAAACGTAAAATAGATAGCTAGTGGGAAGCAGCCGCATAGCACAGGGAGATCAGCTCGGTGCACTGTGACCACCTAGAGGGGTGGGATAGGCAGGGTGGGAGGGAGGGAGACGCAAGAGGGAAGAGATATGGGAACATATGTATATGTATAACTGATTCACTTTGTTATATATTCACTTTGTGGTCTGTCCCGAAGAAAGATGCCTGGTGGTGGCGCTCGGGGCGTTCGCTTTGCCGGGGATTCTGGGTCGGAAGTGGCTTCCCATCTACTCGTGTCTGACTTATGACTTCTAGTAATTGTCCTGCTGTTTTACGTGGAGACTGGACCAGTGTATGACTACATGTATTACTTCTGTAATTGTACAGCATCTGTTTATACCTGGTTCTATAATATATAGTCCAAGGATGGCGCCTGTCCGTAGATATCTCCGGGTCTGTATTTATGACCCTGCGTGTGTGTCTACACCCGTGTGTGTCCGGGATGATAAGACTATGTCCGTGTCTTTAATCCCCGGTCACACTGCTTGTCTCTGTATAATCTGAAAGCTTATTCTGTGGTCTGTCTATAAGTATAGGCAACTTATGTGTTCCAAACACTTTTGTTTTTTACAACGTTACAATTTATTCAAATACTTGGCATCTCTGTGCATTATTTTTACAACTACAGAGACACCTCATTTATTCCAGGTGGCCATGGAAAGAGGTATTCCGCACAACTGAATTAAAGTCTGAATAAAAGAAAAATTTTGAGTATAAATCTTCCTGTATTGGGTATGAATTTCCCCTACATTCTCCAATGGAGTTTGCCAATCCTGACTCAACTTTCTCTTTTTTTCTTTTTCTTCTTCCTTCCTTCCTTCCTTCCCTCCCCTCTCTCCCTGTTCTGTTTATTTCTCTCTTCTTGCTTTCTTGCTTTGTTTTGGCTTTTAATAACACAGGGTTCAAAACACCTGATATACTTCTTTATATTCTTTTCCATGGTTTATCACAGGGTATTGAGTAGAGTTCCATGGGCTCTACAGTAGGACCTCGTTGCTGATCCAGCCTATATATAATTGTTTGCATCTGCTAACCCCAAACCCCCAATGCTTCCCTCCCCACCACACCTGCCTTGGCAACCACCAGTCTGTTCTCTATGTCCACAAGTCTGTTCTCTATGTCCACAAGTCTGTTCTCTATGTCTGGCTAAACACACACTGAGATATGTAATCTCAGGAAGCCATTTTCTCCCTTGTGTTTATAGAATTATTGTAATAATGATTAATAATGATCATAATATTTTTTTAAAGTGCTAACAGCCATATGGCATGCAGTCTGTGCGGGGCACCATCCTGCATGCTTTCCGCATTTCGTTCATTATTTTCATTATCAACCTTCCCCCAAGGCAGGCATTCTTATACTCACTTTCTGGATGGGGAAACGGAGGCACAGACCATCACTGACTTTCTGGAAGTGGGCATCAGCACGGAGCTTTGAGCCCGGGAGTGCTGGTGCTGGGGCTGGGGTCTGATGGTCATTGGATGACTAGAAGTCACTTTGTTGCTACGTGGAAGAGGGATGATGTGTGGACTGTTTTAAGGGACATGTCACAGTCCTTTGTTTTTCCAAATCAAGCCAGCCTGGGCTCTGTGTCCCCATTTGAGCTTAGGTGGAAGGGGTAATGAAAATTCTGTCGCGGGGATACCGGGGTCCTGCGACTAAGACAGACAACTCCAGCTTTTATTTAAAGTCTACGGCCCCCAAACCTAATGTCAAGTGTGTA